AGCGAGACACCACGTAAACGCACGCCGTTACTCCCCTGCTCTCAAGGCGAATGGCTACCACCCCACCCCCACCAGTCTGGTGAGCTGTGGTTCAAGCCAAATGTTTACAATCGTAGAGCCAGGTCGAAGTATTGACGGCCATAAGGGGCAGATAATTCAGTTTTTAAACTATTTGAAACTAAGGGGAGGTAATAACAAGTTCTGCTTGATCTTTTCATTGTCATCTGTAAACTGTCGTCCCGGACGACTGCTTTCAAGAGGGCGGGGGGGGGGGGGGAAGGAGGGTGAGGATATTCGTCCTTCACGAGCTACTGATGGTGTTTTGAAGCTAAATATTTCAGTCCCAGCATTGATAGTGCTGAATTAAAAAAAATTTATGAATTACTGAAAAGTAGAAAATAAACAACTAAATAGTGGCGTATGCTTACGGCGCGGGTCAGCTCGTCTGTTATAAAATAGTTGGAGACATGTACACCACTTACACCACGTGATTTTGTCAAACTACCACATGAGCGAACTATCTAACTGTATTTCAGGCAGTATTGTATCACAAATCAAATGCTCTGCGACTCTTTGAACGAAAGGAAGTGTTGCGGTCAAGCTACTTGGTAATCAAGAAAAATCAAAGTCATGCAAACATTTTTTAAAAACTGAACTACTAAACAATCAAACAAAATTATTTTACACATATAAACATTGGCCTGTATTAAGGCTGGCTAAAAATCTTAATTTTAGTGGTTTGATTTTCTTTAAATATAAGAAAAGAAAAGCACTATTTCAAACGTTATTGTCCATGGGACAGGTCAAGTAGATTCGCCTGTCTCAGTGACCTCGGTCTTGTGTGGTCAGCACTATGCCCATCCGCCTTTACTTCCCCAATGTGAGTCAGGTACCAATAAGAGCTGGGTGGACTCAGGGACGTAGCATGTTGTGTAGCCCGGAATCGAACTCAAAACGTTCGAGCTAGCAGTCAAACGCTCTATTATTCGACCATACCGTGACTAACTTTAAAATGTCAGTGTTTTATGACGATTAATGTCTGTTTTAAACTTCCAGCGGTTATATTCGAATTATTGCTGTCCATTACTATAATTGTTCTTGAGAGTCAAAAAGAAAAGAGGAAACGAAAATGTGGGCAAAAATTTCTATTGATTAAAATTTATTTTACTGATAATTCGTGTTCATGTTAATTCTGTGTCTGTGTTAATTATGTGATGTTTTGTGTGAATGATGTGATGTTTGTGTTAAAGTTAATGATGTCATGTATGTGTGAACGACGTGATGTTTGTGTGAATGATGTGGTGTTTATGCTAATAATGTGATGTTTGTGTGAATGATGTGATGTTTATGCTAATAATGTGATGTTTGTGTGAATGATGTGATGTTTTGTGTGAATGATGTGATGTTTGTGTGAATGATGTGGCGTTTATGCTAATAATGTGATGTTTGTGTGAATGCTGTGAAGTTTGTGTGAATGACATGAAACTAGACATACATACACAGACGTGCAGAGGCGTAGCTAGGGGAGGGCGGGGAGGGCGGCCGCCCCGGGCGCCGACCCTAAGGGGGCGCCAAAAGGGGTAAAAATATATATTAAAAGTTCATTTTAAGCTGCAGTTTTGAATTATAAACAGTCAAAGTAAAGAAATGTAACGGCTGAGAGCCTGTACATACTCATTTAACTGTTTTCTACCTTGATTGTGTAACTGTAAAACGTATATCTTTCAGAAACAGTGACCGGAAAAACCGCTTTCCAGCTTTCCTAGGATTAAGGAATAAATAACCGATATCACTCAGAAAAGAAACCCATTGAACTAAAGCGTATTTTACGCTTGTGTAACATAAAAAAAGAGCTAGTGTCGTTTAAAATCCGCTCTACCATCTTTGTCCAAGATGGTGGGACGCTTTTTCACTAACAAAAATCGCAGGATTTGTACTGGATCGGTTGCTATATGACTCTTTTAACACTTAGAAAAGAAATCAATTGTATTAACACTTAATGTACGATTTCACTACCCAGTTTTGCTAAGTAATAATGCAACTAGTTCTTTGTACGATTCTTACGATTCTCTCAACTTGATCGTGATAGATCAGATACTTTTACTTGATTGCATTACATCTTGCCTGGATCACTGCATTAAAGAGAAATAAACATAATGGATTCTTGTATCGCTATCCGATCAGTAAAATAGCAGACTGTTGGAGCGGGTGGATGGGAAGCGACACTCTTTGCCAAAATTTTAAGAGAGAAGAAAATTAGTATATTGTACTGATTATTACTTTGTTCAACCTAACTGATAATTCAAAATTGCAAGATTGGCCTACTATTATTGAAATTGTTCTAAAGACACGACCAAAAGTAGACCAAATAAGGCTTGCACCTTCTACAAAATACACTCTAAAGCAGTGGTTCTTAAATTTTTGGAGAACCGAACCCCACCAGTTTCATATGCGCAATCACCGAACCCTCCTTAATAGTTGTATCGTCCACAACGACAAAATCCGATCGTGAACCCTTTGAGTCGGGTGTGTGTCTTGACATCCGCGGAAACCCTGAGACTGAATTACCGAACCTCTCGGGTTCAATGGTGCCCACTGTTCTAAGCTCTTTTGATTTTCTACTTTTTATTCGTTTCGGCATCTTAAGGGGAATTTAATTGGCGTCCAGTGAAGTTTTAGGGAACGACAATCAGCGTAATTGTTAATTTTTTTTCCAGACTGTCGCACACACAAACACACACAAACACACAAACACACACACACACACACACATATATATATATATATATATATATATATATATATATATATATATATATATATATATATATATATATATATGGGGGGCGCCAAACTTAAAGTTCGCCCCGGGCGCCATGAGGGATCGCTACGCCTCTGCAGACGTGGTACAGTCTACTTTATGACATGAATTCCACTTCAATCATCTTTTCAGGTTAGGAATGATTGACATTATTATTAAGTTTAGGTCCAGAGTTAGATTGTTTATGTTAGGCTACATGTAGACATAGGTTTTGGTTATTAACATTAGACTGATAACGGGAATACCATTCTCTATTTATGTGAACGGGTTTCCCCAATATATTTTTGTTTGATATAATGAAGAAATAATTCTTTCTTGTGACTGAGCCAGGCTTAGCCAAAGAGTTACTTCGCATATACTAACCTGTAGACTCAAGGAGCGGGATCGCCGACACAGCGGACCAATGATGAATGTTGTGTTGTCCTGTCTTGTCCAAATATAACACTTGGCACCATCTTGGCTCAATTTAAAAAAAAAAATATTCATGATTCTTATTCTTATCTACCTTGATAATCAATATTAAGGGGGTAGGCTCCAGAAAAAAAACAACTTCTTAATTAAATAGTTGTATTGATTTATTTGTGTATATCTAAATTAGGGTGCTTAAAGGAAAATATGTGCAAGCATCAGGGACTCTTTTTGTAAATATGTTTGCCATGGCAACGGCGGCCATCTTGAAAAAAACCAACGTTTTGTGGAGTTCTAAAATTTCATAAACTAACATATATATTTCAGCCATATAATTATTGGTCCTTCTTTTACTAACATTAATAGAGTCAGCTGGCTAGTTTTTGCAACAGAAAACACTAGAATTTTTTTTTTAATTTTTAAAAAAATTTGGTATGGCGAAATTCTATTGAAATGAATGCTAAATTTAATGGTATCTCACCATAACCAGAGGTGCAACACATCAGCCGGGAGCCCGTGGACATTAAAAGACGGGGGGAGGGGGGCTTACACTAGTGGCGTATGCAAACTTTTAGGGTAGGGTGAGTCACAAGTCAGGATATTGGCCTATATATATATATATATATATATATATATATATATATATATATATATATATATATATATATATATATATATATATATATATATATATATGGATACTACGGCCCTGATTTACATGAGTTATAAAGACAAAATAATTATTTACAAGGGACGGAACTGTTGAATAACTGCACGACCCTAACAACTTATACAGTAGTTAAGCTTTAGGTGCCTAAAACCTACATCTTTGAATGGGAAAATCTCGCACATCTGTCTGAAAAGAATTTCCTAATCTGATTCTAATGCATTAGTTTTTAAATTACTTGTTAAGGTTGCTAACTAAGTAAGAAATAAGCTGTTGAGAAGAGCAGAGGCGTAGCGAGGGCGGAGGGGGGGAAGGGGGTGCGGATCGCACCGGGTAACACCATTGGGGCGGGGGGGGGGGGGTGACACCAAGGCAAAAATTTGCAAAATATACCGAAGAAAAATGCTATATTGCCAGTTCCGTTAATGATTAATTAAAGTTAAATACTACACATCGACAATTATTACAAAGGGGTGGGGGTGACATCATGACGTAAACGTGCTAACTACAGAGAAAACAATGCTACATCCAATTACATTATTAACTAAATAAAAATAAACATCGTTACTATTAAGTCTGCAGTGACTAACGCATATGCACATGCATGTACGCGTATGCGGCATATATCTAAATTATTGGCAAATGTAGGCCGACACACACATATTTATCTATTTTCATATATATATATATATATATATATATATATATATATATATATATATATATATATATATATATATATATATATATATATATATATATATATATATATATACTTGAGAAGGGGTGACACCACGAAGTGCCGCACTGGGTGACACCCGACCTAGCGACGCCACAGGAGAAACGTCATGAATGTAACTGTTTGAATGTTGTCCATCTTTTGACATATGGCTAAAATAATAACCGCTGTGCTTCGTTACAAAAACACTGCAGTGTGCAATCTATTTGCACGAAAATAAAACTATTTTGGAATTTAAAATTTCATTGTTTATTTTTTGGTCGGATATTGGACCCCCTAAACTGCCCGGGTATACCTGCATTAGGGTCTGTCCGCCTCTGCGGGTAATAGATGTTGATTTAAACTAGGCCTAGGCCTACATCAACCTATAACATTGCATGCAGTTGTCGATCTGACTTGGAAAAAAGATTCGGATAGAAAACACCACAATGAAGACTTGGAGTTTGTTGTGTTTGCTTTTTGCTATTCATCTTTTTCTATCGCCTTCGGCAGCTCAAGGTACGGGTAAAATTTTAATTTAATCAAGGTTAGCAGGTCCACCTTAAATGTCGTTATGCTCTGTTGGTCTGTTACCAACCCTACTTACATACACATACATACACGTCGACACACTAGTATCACCCACCTTCTACTTAACCTCACCCATTAACACCCATCTCTCTAAGATTCACAACCATAAAATCACAATTAGTTCTAATTAATTAATGTTAACACACCATCCTCCCCTCGTCTTCGAAATATACACACACATGGACATAATAGTGCCCCCGTCATTCCAAAGTGAGGGACGCCTTTTTTAACGGTTGTCTACTCGGATTTTAGTAGTGGGCTCAGCTTTACTTCCTCTAACGTGAGTCAGGTACCCTTCTGAGCTGGGTGGACTCAGGGACGTAGTACAGACTTGATCCAGGGATTCGAACTCGTGGCTTTCGGTTAGCAGTCGTATGTTGTACTATCCGACTACGCCGTCCCGCTAAGTGTAATTATAATACCTAAATGGCAATTTTAGAGGAAAAAATCGTGCTTACTTTAAAAGAACAAAAATAGCGTAATTGTAAACTTACATAAATATTGTGTTTACGTGTTATTATTATATTTTAAAATACATTTTATTTTGTTTTAGAGGTCAAAGCAGTCAAAGCTACAAAGAGGGCACCTTGGTGAGCTTTTTTTTAGTTTGTTACATCAAAACTTTCAGGTTTTTTATGTATGACAAGGATAAAACTTTATGGAAACTAAGTGGAATGAAAATATTAAGCACAAGGTTTAAATGATTAATGAGATTTAAACCAGCTCGTCGTCCGAGATGTGTATACAATTTCCTGCATGTTTGAAATGTTTAGCTGTCGTAGGATATGATAAATGCTGAAATGTTAAAGGTTTTGGGATTAGAGTCTTACGGTAATAAGTGGCGTCGCTAGGTCGGGTGTTACCCGGTGCAGCACTTTGTGGTGTCACCCCCACCCCCAAAGAACAAAGTATATATATGTATATGTATATATATATATATTATATATATATATTTATGAATTTATTATATATATATATATATATATATATATATATATATATATATATATATATATATATATATATATATACATAGTCATATATATATATATATATATATATATATATATATATATATATATATATATATATATATATATATATATATATATATATATATATATATATATATATATATATATATATTATAAATATAAATTTCAGGGATGGAAGATGTGTCCCCAAAGGTGTCCTCTGCAACCCTTTTAACAGCGGCCGATGTTGTGGCGATAATGCTTGGTAAAAGAACCAACAACACCAACACTACCATCAACAAAACCATCAAAACAACTAACACCACCATCATTACCAATACCACCACTGCCATCATTACCAGCACCACCAACACCACCACCATCATTACCACCAACACCACCACCAACATCATCAACACCACCTCAACACCACCAGCACCAACACCCACACCATGAACACCAACATCATTACCATCACCACCACCAACAACAGCAACACCAACACTATCATCACCACCACCATTATCATCATTACCAACATCACCACTATCACTACCACAACCACCATCATTACCAACATCACCACCACCATCATCATTACCAACACCAACACCACCACCACCAACACATTTACTCACTACTTTACCACCACCATTATCATCATTACCAACATCACCACTATCACTACCCCAACCACCATCATTACCAACATCACCACCACCACCATCATTACCAACACCAACACCACCACCACCAACACATTTACTCACTACTTAACGCACCAAATCCATTTCACAAACAAAACTATAGAGTTATTTAAGAACGTTTGGGGTAGCACCAATGGTAAATGATCCCTGTGATACCACACTCAATATTTCGCGAGAGTATTGGAGTATTGGGGACTACCCATCAAGCCTAAAGCAGGTGATACGAGGCACTAAAGAACGGAGCTAAATGGAGAGCGCCGTTTTGATTGGCTGGTAGAATGTGAGAAATGCTCGATACAAAACCCAGTTCCAGTCTGCTTAGCTAGGCTAATTAGCAAAAGTTGATCAATTCATGAGGCTAATTAGCAAAAGTTGATCAATTCATGAGGCTAATTAGCAAAAGTTGATCAATTCATGAGGCTAATTAGCAAACGTTGATTAATTCATGAGGCTAATTAGCAAAAGTTGATCAATTCATGAGGCTAATTAGCAAAAGTTGATCAATTCATGAGGCTAATTAGCAAAAGTTGATCAATTCATGAGGCTAATTAGCAAATGTTGATCAATTCATGAGGCTAATTAGCAAAAGTTGATCAATTCATGAGGCTAATTAGCAAAAGTTGATCAATTCATGAGGCTAATTAGCAAAAGTTGATTAATTCATGAGGCAAGTTAGCAAAAGTTGATCAATTCATGAGGCTAATTAGCAAAAGTTGATTAATTCATGAGGCAAGTTAGCAAAAGTTGATCAATTCATGAGGTAATTATCAAAAGCTAGAGCAATTTATGAGGTAATTATCAAAAGCTAGAGCAATTGAGATAATTATCAAAAGCTAGAGCAATTTATGAGGTAATTATCAAAAGCAAGAGCAATTAAGGAGGCTAATTATCAACAGCTAGAGTAAGTCATGAGTGTAAACAACACTAAAAGCCAGAATGAAGCTGGCTGAAGATGTTTATTTAGGGGAGGAATTTTTTGCTTTTTTGTGGTGATGGATTTAATTCTGAGAATATATTTTATAATTTTAATTTTTGAATTTCAGTTACTTTCTTCTTATCCATTTCTTTTGCGTCTAAACGATGAAAAGAAAACACAGAAAGGGCAAAACCTTATTAAATAAAAAATTTAGTCCAGTTAATTACCTGTTGGCGTTAATTTTTAAGTTTATATTTGTGTGATTGATGTCACGTTTGTGTTGATGATATAGTGTTGATGTGGTGTTTGTGTTGTTGATGTGGTATTTGTGTTGATGATGTGGTATATGTGTTGTCGATGTGGTGTTTGTGTTGTAGATGTGGTGTTCGTGTTGTGGATGTGGTGTTTGTGTTGTTAATGTGGTGTTTGTGTTGTGGATGTGGTGTTGATGTGGTGTTCGTGTTGTGGATGTGGTGTTTGTGTTGTTGATGTGGTGTTCGTGTTGTGGATGTGGTGTTTGTGTTGTTAATGTGGTGTTTGTGTTGATGTGGTGTTTGTGTTGATGATGTGGTGTTGATGTGGTGTTGATGTGGTGTTTGTGTTGTTGATGTGGTGTTGATGTGGTGTTTTGTTGATGCGGTGTTTATGTGGTTGTGTTGTTGATGTGTTTTTGTGTTGTTGATGTGGTGTTTGTGTTGATGATGTGGTGTTGATGTGGTGTTGATGTGGTGTTTGTGTTGATGATGTGATGTTGATGTGGTGTTGATGTGGTGTTTGTGTTGATGATGTGATGTTTGTGTTGTTGATGTTGTGTTTGTGTTGATGTGGTGTTTGTGTTGTTGATGTGGTATTGTTGTGGTGTTTGTGTTGATGATGTGGTGTTGATGTGGTGTTGATGTGGTGTTTGTGTTGTTGATGTGGTGTTGATGTGGTGTTTTGTTGATGCGGTGTTTATGTGGTTGTGTTGTTGATGTGTTTTTGTGTTGTTGATGTGGTGTTTGTGTTGATGATGTGGTGTTGATGTGGTGTTGATGTGGTGTTTGTGTTGATGATGTGATGTTGATGTGGTGTTGATGTGGTGTTTGTGTTGATGATGTGATGTTTGTGTTGTTGATGTTGTGTTTGTGTTGATGTGGTGTTTGTGTTGTTGATGTGGTATTGTTGTGGTGTTTTTGTTGATGTGGTGTTGATGTGGTGTTGATGTAGTGTTTGTGTTGTTGATGTGGTGTTGATGTGATGTTTTGTTGATGCGGTGTTTATGTGGTTGTGTTGTTGATGTGTTTTTGTGTTGTTGATGTGGTGTTTGTGTTGATGATGTGGTGTTGATGTGGTGTTTGTGCTGACGATGTCGTATTTTTTGTTGATATGCTCTTATTATTGATGCCGTGGTTTCTTTTAAAAATATATGAACTGTTTTAAAAGTAGATTACCTGCTTTAAAATAGATTACCTGTTTTAAAAATCAATGGTCTCTAAATAACGATAGTCACTGAGTGCCCAGCACACTCAAGTATCGATGCTTGTCCACATTTGTGAAAACTTGTTTTTCTAATCAGTATTTTGAGAAGAGTAAAATCTCGCACACAAGTCGTAAAAATCAATAGTGCTGATCATTCCAATCTTCAAACAAATTAATTTTAAATTAGTTTTTGAAAAAACCTGTTGACTAGGTGCGAAGTGAGATCTTGATAGGTAGGTAGGGGGTGGGTTGCCAATGCGACTGAAATGTATCTTTGCGATGGAGAACGAGACAGGCAAGATAAAAATAAAGTTTTGTTACTTGAAATTTTCTTGAGCAAATTTTCTGTTTATAATTGGTGTGAATAGTATGGGGTTTGAGTGAATAGTTTAGTGTTTGTATTAGTAGTGGGGTGTTTGAATTAATGGTGGGGTGCTGGTGCTAATAGCGGGGTGTGTGAATTAATAGTGGGGTGTTGGTGTTCATGGTTTATTGTTTGTGTTAAGGGTTTAGGGTTTGTATTAATAGTAGGATGTTTGTATTGATGGTGTGCTATGTGTGTCAATGGTGAAGTGTTTATGCGCCCGCCCTCTGACAGAAGTGGTGAGGGAGGGCACTTACAGTTTTTTCTAGAAGGTGGATACTGGTCAAACAATATATATTCTATATAAAAGCTTTTTTTTTCTATTTTTTTCGAGGGGAAGAGAGTGGAATTGCGATGAACGCTGTTGTGGGGGGGGGGGGGGGGGGTGGAGGGGGGGGGTAGGTGGAGGGGCAGTGTCTCCACGTAGAAATGCCCGAAAGAAACTGCATACCCTCCGCCCCAGAGCACTAACCTCGAGGCAAAGACGTGTTTCAATCAACAGTTTGTCACCAAGTAAAAACAAAAATGGACCCGCAGCAAACACTATGAAATATAATATATATACAAAATAATGTATTAATTTAAAAGTAGTTTTAAAACAATCAAAAAATTGAAATAGCGATTATAAAATTACACAACCCTTAACCTAACCCTCAAACAAAGCCTTAACCTAGTCCTCAAACAAACCATGAACTCAAACGTCAAACAAACCCTAAACCGAACCCTAAACCGAACCCTAGCTCCGACAACACAGCTGAACCCATCAACCCAACTTCTTTGTCCGTATTCCCCAAGCCAGCAGAAGCTCCATCAATGTCTTCCTGTACCTGCCGCTCATCTTGAGGTACACGAGCGTGTTGACGGTGTTACACACGTTCTCCATGAACAGCACCACACAGTAGCAGCACATAGACACGTCGAAATACTTTCCCCGGAGACTCAAGTTCCGGATCAAGCTGGACGCACACAGTAGCGCCGACTCCGGGATTAAGCAGACGATGAAAGTCAGCGACACGGTCGTCAACATCAACACGACCTTCATCTCCTTCCCCGTCACGCCTGACTTGTTCATCGTCTGCTTCCACTGAGCGGTCCGTCGCAGCTTCACCCCGATGATGCTTGTGCAGGTGATGATGACGACGAAGGTGAAATTCGGAACAAAAAGATCCGTGATGAAATACGACACGGCGAAGACTTCGTTTCGCGTGGGGCGGAAATTGGCAGCCAGGTAGGATTTGTTTGTAGCTGGCGAGTATGTCCAGTCTAGGTAGGTGGTGTAGTACACAGGAAACACTACAGGTAACGTGGCGATGTAGATGACGGTTATAACCGTCACGGTGACGCGTTTTGTGATTAATAATTTCAGCTTCAGCGGTACCACAACACAGACACATCTCTCGAACGACGCGAAGGCTGTGATGAATCCACTCACACGGATGAAGTAGTTGTGTGGATACATGGATACCATGACCAGAACATCCACAGGGTCAAAGGGCACATCGGCGTATAAAAACCACGGGTTTAACATGATGTTGTTGATCTGTATGGTGATCAACGCGCCCAGGTCGCTTACAGCTAAAGCCGTTAGCGTGATATTGACCGTGTCCTTGAACCCTTGTCTGGTGAAGACCAGGATGTTGAGCACGTTGCAGACGATGCCCACTAGCCCGATGACCTCACCGGTGATCAGGTTGAAGGCCAGAAAAAAATGAAACAGCCCCTCGCTGACCAAACCGGATAGAGTTAGTCGTAACATGCTGACATTGTATGGGCACTGGGTGTTTGTGGTGGTGTTTCACAGTCGTATTTTTATACTGCGGCTTACTGCAGTGGGATTTTTCAGCTGTGGGAATTTATTCCATATCTAACAGTGACCAAATCTAGTTAGTCGTTACACAAAAATGTCGTATTTAACGTTAACTTTTTACCAGATTTTGAATATGAAATAATTATTTTAAAATTCTAGGTAGGCTTGTTATTTAAAAAGGCAATTATAAACACACGGGGGCATTAATTAATTTTAATCAGTTCGGCTCTGAATGGTGTGTTATGAGACCTAAATATATTGTATCACGCTGGTATAGATGGTCATCTGTGCGTATGAAAACAGGAGAGCATGAAATTTATTTCAATATCAGAAAGCTAATGGCTGACTTATTTAAATATCTGACAGTAAATGGCTGAGCATGAAAACGAGACCTCTGGTGTCAAATCGATTTGTTAGACACTTTAATAACAACAATTACGTTCCTAAATCACGTGCAATTATTTTTTCCTATTTTATATTTTAAATTTATAATCTCTACTATCCTTCTGTGTATTCTTTAATTAGATAATTTAAAGCATAAATAGCCTGAAAATAATGCAGTTAATTAACAATAAACTTAGAATACATGTTATAAATGAATAGGCCTAATTGTTTAATTATTCTACAAATTAAACCACGACGAGGAAAATTGGAAAATTGCTGGAATTAACTATCGATGAGACGGAGTTAATATTTTGTAATTGCTTTCAGAAAGCCAGGCAGATGTAATTAGGACCAAGCTGTTCTTAAAATTTAATTACCCAGTCGCCCCTGATGTCTTTCAAATTAATTTTTAATTTTTCTAGGCCTACTACATTTTAACATAAGTCGTAAACGTTTTTAAAAAATATTCTTATAATTAGACGTTGAACATTTGTCAAATATGGATTGAAAGTAGCAGCACTCTGGAGCAATATGTTAGGGTTATTGATTTCAGTGCAGGACACACAGATGGCTTTCTCAGTGTAGGACATACAGATAGCTTTCTGTCGAATGTGTGCGGAGTATCATCACACTTATCCAACATGTAAGCAAAGCGTGAAGTACCGATGGGTCTGAAGGCCTGGAGGGGGGGGGGTTGCTGAGCAGAGGCGTATGCGATGGTGGTGGGTGCGGACCGCACCGGGTGACACCATTTAGGAGGGGGGTGACACCAAGGCAAAAAATAGCAAAATATATAGAGAAAAACTTGAGGGGGGGTGTGCAGATCGAAAGTTTGAGAGGGGGGGGGGGGGGTGGTACAAATCGAAAGTTTGAGGAGGGGGTGTGTGCAAATCGAAAGTTTGAGGAGGGAGGTGCAAATAAAAAATTTGAAAGTTTGCGCCTCTGGGGTTGACACCACTAAGTGCCGCACCGGGTCACACCCGACCTCACTACGCCACTGTTGCTGAGTACTTCTTTTCTTTTTCTTCGTTCACATTGTAATGCTGGAAGGGACTCCGTCCCTCTTTTATACGGGAATTCTATTAACTTTGGGTTTTAAGATCAGTCTAGAAACGTAGGGTAATTGTTTACCTGAAGTCAGAGTTTCTTCCAGGCATCTCTTCGGGGAGGGGGGGGGGGCGCAATGCCTCCCGAAAAAAGTCTACCGCCCCCCCCCCCCCCCCCCGAACGAGATGGAATTTATATAGTAAATATACACTTTTACTAGTGTCCGCCCCCCCCCTCCCGAAAAATGTTGACCGCAATGCGGAAGGGGGGGGGGGGCACTCCATTTAAGGGCCCATAGCCGACCAAAATACATTTTTTATGGTTAAAAAAATATAATTTTCTTGCATTCTTGACTTGAAGATATAAATATAAACTTTTGTAAATAACAAACAGATCTACTACAGTAGTGATGTTATACAGTAGCGAACGCATGCTGTTGCGTAAAAAAAAAATATGCCTCGGCTGTAGTGTGAAAGATAGGCAAACGTTCAAAACACTTCCAAGACTTATTTCCCTTTTTTTAAATAGGTAAATAGGGGTGCTCATAAGCTCCTTTTGATATATTTGTACTAAACAAATTAAAAAACAATTACTACTCTTAATTATTATTTTTTTTAAAAATACTAAAGAATTACATATCATAAAAAGAAAATATATTAAAAACAAATAATCTAAACAAATAATATAAATTAAAGAAACAAGCATAAAAATAAACATAACACAAGAAACCATTACACATACATTATATTCTTTTGACCGGCTAATTGTAGAGGGTAGGCAAAAATTGAATAAACTAGTTCTAAAACTGAAAAAAAATTCAAAGCAGACAAATGCACTCACAAACATGACATGTAATTTTTTTCAATTGAAAAAATAAGAAATTTATTTTCAAAACCCGAACAGGCCAGAAAGAGTATCCAATTTTTTAATTATGTGTTTTATATACATTATATATATATATATATATATATATATATATATATATATATATATATATATATATATATATATATATATATATATATATATAGGGGGGGGGGCCCAGAAATTTTATTTGCGGGGTGGCCCTTTTTTTCTAGTTCCGCCACTGCTCCCCCCCCCCCCAAGGAGAAAAAAGTCTGGACGAAATACTGCCTAAAGCATGCCCAGTAGAATACGATTTGACCTTTGATATGTCAATAGTAGCAGTGAGGGAATCTACAGGTCCCTTGTCTGTTAGATGATCCAGAACATTTTCCTAAGGCATCTTGTGCAAAAGGGGGGGGGGGGGGGCTGAATAAATGTACAGAAAAATAAACACGCTCTCACACAACTTCAAGAACGTTAGTATGAGTCAAAATGATCAGCACGTACAGATGTATTAAACGAACACATACTTAAATACCTCGGGTAAATTTAGTTAAAACAATATAAAAACACTTTGGATGAGAGTATGAATACCTCCAAAAGATAAATAAGCAAACTTAAAATAAAGAATAACTACTATTGTTTATTTTTTTTTAAAAAGGTCGTACTGTGTTAATTTTGTTTTTGTAATTACCAGTAAAATGGTGTGCGATCAATATAGCGATCCAACCCGTACCTTATCATTATGTTAAAAATTAATATTTAAAGAACACATAAAACATTAGGTATTTCTAAAATGTAAAGATCCAATATGCAATATCAATAATTTAGTTAAAAAGTAACAGCTCTTTTTTTTTTTTTTCAATGTTCATTTTTTTTATTACTGTGAATAATTTATACACATCTTTAAAAAAAAAAAACAGAATATTGATTAACATTTGATTGTATTACTATGCAGCAAAAATTTTCATCTGAATTTTGTCTTCCGTCCAAAGTTGCTAATTTATTGCTTGGTCCAGGCTTTCAATCTTTCTATAACATTTAAAATCTACAAATACAACTATATTTTTAAAACGAACTTATTTATCACTTATGACATCTGTGGACAAATAATAATCAAGCTCATGTGATTTAAACTGAAAAACCAACTAAAATCCTACAATATATTTTCACAAAAGCTTTTAAAAAAAATCCATGAAGAATCTTTATATTACATTTACAGCCTTTTAATAGTTTAAAAAATGATTTGATGCCAATATATGCCCTAATTAATTAAAGCATAACTTTACTGACCTTATGTGGACTTTGTTTATATATGAGCTATTATAATGTAGTTGTCACAGACTGTATAATTATGTATCCTTATTATATTGTGTTTTGCATGAATGAAGAGTACCTGGCTAGCGGAAGGACTGTCTGAGCGATCGTCATGTGTTGTTTCATGCTTTTGGGTGAGATCGCTCATGTACGTAAGGGGAGAGAAAGTGGTGAATAAAAGGGAGAGCAAAAAGGTGAATGGGTGTTGTGTGCTAGAACTTGAACCTGAGGACTGTGGCTGTGAATGTAGGATGTTACTACGACACTTTGTTTCTTGACTGTGATTGTACTTATACCAGTTGTGACCATGGATTTACTATGGGTCTATTAATTCTCTGTACAAAGTGTAAATAAAGTTATTGTTTCACAACTACTGTTGCTCGTATGAGTATATTGAAGAACCCACAATAACAACAAAGAATTCATGTTGTTACATATGGTGTCAGAAGTGAGCGTCTACTGTTACATATGATGTCAAAAGTGGTTGAAGAAGTGGTGCTACTGTTACTGATTCTACTGTTACATTGTCAGAAGCAATTGAAGAAGTGATGTTGTTACATTGGTAAATTATATTGAAGTCTGAAATCGTCAACGAAGTTACAGTGTTACTACAAGTGATCAAGAATTGTCACATTATCATTGTAAGCAGTTTTCAACGTTTTTGAAGTGGTCTTCCACTGTTTACCAAGTACGTCAAGTTCTTGAAAGTCATCTATCTACACTCAAGTCAGAAGGGTTGCTGTAGTCAAGTCAGACGTCTTGTTCAAGTCAAGTCATCAACGTGATAATTTTTATCACCTTATTTCGATATTGTCTCACCAATGTCGAGTAAATATCGTCTGTGTGTTTTTTCTGTTTGGATTTAGCCGATCAAGTCTTAGTGTTTCTTTTCTACTGTTTGGATTTAGCTGTTCAAGTTTTTTCTATATGGATTAGCTGTTCAAGTTTTTCTACTGTTTGGATTTAGCAGATCAAGTTTATTTTTGTAACTGTTCCTAAACTGTTCCTAAAGATGTCTTATCTAAAACTGGACAAATTTCTACTCTGTAACAGGCTACTAGAACTATTTTGAATTTTTTCAACTTTTTGGAATCAACAAAGTGAACTATTTTTGTACTATATATGTACTATGAACTTTTCTTGGATTACTAGATGTCTCTAATCAACTGAACAAAGCCAGAATACAAGAAAGGGTATTGTAAATTAATTAACATTTATCTATTGTCAACTAATGAATTTATATTTTATGTCATAGAAAATATATCAAAATGTTATGTTTTGAAGAATATCTAGCACTAGCGAGGGCGCAAGGCATTAAGAAGATGAAGAAGCAGATAGCCTGGGCAAACACTCGA